GCTCTTGCATCCTATTACCATTGGTGAGACTCTGAGCTAGCAAATGTCAACTTTCAGGTAACAGCATTGCTAAAATAAGTGATTTTATGACATGAAAATCTGGAAATACATGTTTCTAGTTTTTTATTCCTAAGAAAAACATGCATTTTAGAAGACAAGGAAATTTAGTAGGGCCTCATATCTCAAAAGATTTTATTTTGCAGTAAATGCTTGAGTGCATGAGTCCACTTAAATCCCATCACAGAACTGCTGTAGTATGTTGCTGAGAGAAGAAACAACCTTTTCAACTGAGGGGAGAGAGGAATGAGTAAAGTAATTTCAATATTTTGAAAGTTTATAAACAAATAACCTTCTAAGAGGTGGCTAGGGAGTATTCTCCCAGGACCCTTCCCTGTCAGGTGTTACATTTTAAGCTTTCATCCCCCTCACACACCCTCAATGTCTGTAGTTCAAGATGTTTTGTATTCAGAACTCATGGCATAAATTGTGTTACATGTTAAGCTTTCATCCCCCTCACACACCCTCAATGTCTGTAGTTCAAGATGTTTTGTATTCAGAACTCATGGCATAAATTGTGCCAATGTTGAATAAGCAAGTTATCAAACATTAATCCAAAAAAAAAAGAAACATCCAGGTTATGAAAGACACTGGCCAGCATGCCTGACATTCAATAGCACAGCAGAGCATCCCTCACATCTAACAACAGCAACCATTTTAGCCACGCTGGGCTCTGTTGCTGTTTGTGTACATTGAGGGAGGAAAAAAGGTCTCATAAGGCTCTGACCTGCAAGATAAAAAACATAACACACATCAACATCTATGAGTCAAGCTTCTTGTCTGAGCAAACAGCAGTACTCACCTTTTGATCTTCTGTGAATTCCGAGTTGTTGTGCTGAGACTGTGCCTCTTTCTGGAGGTGCCTGGCTAATCTGGATGGGGGAAAAGAAAATTGCAAAGTGGGAACACAACACAAACACACACACCTCAGCTCCAGAAAATGTGTCAGCCAAAAGGTTCACAGACTGCTGCTCCAAGAGGTTTGGGTTGGTTTTGCTGTTGTGTTTTTGCTTTGTTTTTTGTCTTTTGAAACAAAGTTTTCTATAGCCATGATAGTTCATACTTAAGAAAAAACTCCAGAAGGTGGACAAAGTATGCAACTACATTAGGCAAGAAAGACTAATGCATTATGAAAGGAGAACAGGTAAGAGGGTCACTATAGCAAACAGCCCCTTTTACAAGCACTGACTTTTTTCCTCTCACAATTCCTTTCTTTTATAATAACAAACCACAGCCCCTGTGAAGACCCACTGTGGTGCAATCCCACACACATTTCCCGGGAGAGGCTGAGGCAAGGGAGATGCCAGGGAGCTCAGGTGAGGGCACCCTGAGCCATGGCACACGCTCTCCCAGCACTGGAAGCCAGGCACAGGGCAGCTTGGCCTAGGCTGCCGGGGTGGATCCGCTCACATTTGTGCCTGTCAGCATTACAGGCGGAGCACAAACCTCATGCCTTGTCATCACCAAGGCAGGAATACCAAGGGGTTTGAAAAGTAACAGTAAGCAAACAGCTTGAGAGAGTGAAAAGAAGCTGGATGGAAGCTATGGGTAGAGTAAAGTTTCTGTCCCAGGAGGAAGGAGAACATTGAACAAGCAAAACCTCTGGGCACTTGTTGCCATTCCCTGTAGATAATGTTTTTTACAAGCAGAGGGAGAGGGAGGACAGGGGTGGAGGGGAAACCCAGAGACATCACAATAGGCTACTTCCTGGAACCTCACCATTTTGCACTGTGAAAGGGACTCTGCTTCTCTCTGCCACTGCTGTGGGTATTGGCACAACTTTAGGAGGCGCTTATAAACACCAAGATACATCCAGCAGAACAGATTGTTGTCAAAGCCACAGGAACAAAAGTCAGAATTCAATTTCTTTACTTTTCCTCAAAATCAGCTCTCAAAAATGCCCATATTGATTGAGGCCATTGTAGCTTTTAACTCTTACCAGGAAAAACACAACCAAACAGGATAAGGTAACTGCACAACTTGGTAGTATTGTCCCACTTCAAAATTGGAGAAAGACTGGGGCTGAGAAAAGACAAAAAGCATAAACATACTTGAACTCAAAAGTACACTCCTTACCTACTGCCCTGCCCTATGATACATGGGACACAGAGAAAGAGCATTATAATGATTTAAGAAAACAGATTACCATAGCAGCAATATGCCACCCACAACAGGCAGCATCACAGCATTAACATTTCTGCAACCATCACTAACACAACCCTCTTTCCATTTGTCACTAAGACAAAAAATATCCACCCTAAGCCAAATAAATGCATCTGGCATTCCCCTTGAAGCTCGTTCAAAGTTAGATGAGACCAAGTTCGATGATGGGGACATTTAACAGGGAAGCCACTGCTGACAGCTCGAAGGATTCCTGCATGAATTCCCGAATGACTGAGGGCCAGTCTTTGTACCAAGTACCCTTCTTGTACTTCTAGGGGCAACATGAAGACCTGAACAGATAGACACAAGAGGTACATAATTGTGCTTTTACATCAGCAGCCATCAAGACTCCTATTTTTCCCAAATCCAAGCTTTCTCAGCATCAGCAAGCTCTGTGTAAGCAGCTTCTCTCCAAGATGCTTGTGTGGATCAGCACAGACTGTGCTGGTGTTCACAGCACCTGGACAAGAGCAGCACCACACCTCTTCATCCCATCTCAGGGTGCCTTTGAGAAGGCAGCACTATAAACCCATCCTGCAATGTCTCTCCACAATTACAGCTCAGCATCTTTTCCTGTGCTGCTTGTTTGCAACTTGTATCCTACAGCTTGATATTGTTATTAATTTATTTATTTACCTGCTAAAGATACAGGATAAAGGTTTTGCTCCTCCCTAGGAAATATCTCCCTGTAATCCCCTAATCTTCTCTGTCCTTTCTACTGACTCCTCAGACCACAGAGCTCATCTACTGACAAGTATTTAGTAGAAACTCACTGATAAGAGCAGCTTCCACCCAAGAGGAGCTTCCTTACAATGACACCACACTGCTCCCAGGTCAGAACAGACCCAGGGTGTGGAGATCACCTCAGCTCTTGTCCAACACAAGCAACAGAGTGAGGAAGACAACAGAAGTGGCATTTCAATTCTCAAACTGGACTGTCTGCAAATGTTTACTCACCTGACTTCTCAATGAAGAGAGCTCAGAAGGAGAGCCCAAAGACTTTTCATTCCAAAGAAATATCATTATATGAAACTCACTGCTCAGACTGCTTAGACAGTTTAAAGAATTAGGATTGTACTGGACTCCTTGTAGACATCCACATAAGGGCAGTTAGTAAAAATATCTTATTTTACTTCTTGATGATTTTTTTTTTTTCTGCCGAGATACAGATCTGGAAGAGAACTTCTTTTCATCTCTCTGCCAAGTTTTGTAGAGTAACAGCCTGCCCTACTCTAAAGGTCATCAGCAAACTGCCTATCACTGAACTTGCAGTGACAAGTAACACTTTATCCTTCCTGGTGAGTGAATGAAATTATGAGATTACAGCCTCTCCTGACCACCCAGTAAGGGGCCAGCAGACCAGTTTCTCTGAATGACAACTGAACTGGCAGCCAGCGTGGTTAGAACCCAACTTGACCAGTCCTGAAAGCTGTTAAAAGATCCCTCAGGGAGTATCTCTTCAGCTGACTTTCTCTTGGCAAACAAGTGTGAACCCTCTTGTCAACTGCCAGAAAATTCACCATGAGAAGCCTCGCCTGAAATACTGCAATCACAAAGAAATAACTTTCATTGTCATGGCAAATGGAGTAGTAGGGAAGAACATCTGACTAAAGGTACCAGGTGTGTTTCCAAGGAGTCCATCATCAATGCCCTGTAGCCAATACTCCTCTGCTGCCAAAGGATTCATGGATGGTGAGGTCACACACTGTGCCAGCCAACTTGACTGGGGCTGCCAGGTTCCCCACTCTCCCACCCTGATACCCTCAGGGACACAACATGTGCTGGACACTTTACATTCTGATGGGTTGTGTGGGGTTTTTTGGTTAAGGCTGATACTTAGGCAGCCCACTTGCCAGGTTGCTCCGCTGCCACAAGCATGGTGCCAGGGCAACAGGGTGATAGGATAGGGCATCCCAGTCCAGTGGTGCATCGGGGGCTCCACCAACCAACCATTCTGGCAACCCACACTCTCAAAATCACGGCCTGGTTTGGGTGAAAGGGACATTAAAGAACACCTTGTTCCATCCACTGCCATGGGCAGGGACACACCTTCCACAATGCCAAGTTGCTCCAAGCTCCACGGCGGCCGCTGCCACCCTCCCAAGAGAGCAGGACAGCCGGCTCCCGCCTCGCACCCCGGCGGGGCACCCCACGAGGGGACTCCTCGGCCCCTGGCCCAGCATCTTGGGGAAGGGCCGGAGCAGCCAGCGGGGCCCCATGGGCGAGGGGGCCGCGGCCTGGGCCCTGCGGGGCCCCCCTGCCGTGCCCCGCCCCGCCCCAGCCGGGGCCGGTCCCTCACCCCGGCGCCTCGCCCAGAACTCCGGAGCCGTGCCGGGCCCGCACTCACATCTGGTACTCGTCGATCGCCTCCACGAGCTGCCCCCAGGAGTCGAAATCGGTACCCTTCCTGAAGCTGGCGTCCCAGCGCTGCAGGAGGCTGCGGGCCGCCTCCGACATAGCCCCAGCGCTAGGGCACCATGCTCACCCCGCGCCGGGGCACCCACCGCGCCAGACAGCCACTCGGCTGGGCACGGCACGGCCCCGCCCGGCACGGCCCAACCCCTGGACACCGAGCGCGGCGGCGCCTCCCGCCCGCCCGCCCGCCTGCACCGCCCAGCCGGGGAGGCGGCGCTGACCGCACCCGCGCGCGCCATCGCTACCGAGGCGAGGGCGCCACTTCCGCCCCGGTACCTGTCATGGCGGCGGTCACGTGCGCATGGGCGGGGCCCGGGCGGGGTCGCTCCGCTCCTCCCTCCGTTCCCGGCCGTGCCCAGGTAAGTCCCGGCGACCCCCGTCTGCAGCACCGCAGGCGGTCTCGCCCCTCGGGAGGGCAAGGGCCGTTGCTGGTTTGCTGGCGTGCCCGTTCCTGCTGGTGTTGGTGACGTTCGGGGGTCCTTCCCGCGGGAGGACTGTGGGCCTCGGCCGTGCCGGCGGCCGCTGTCCTGGGGGGACGCGCTAGGGCCGCGGGGCTGTTGTTGGCGGCGGCCCAGGGACTCCGGTGGGGAGGAGGGCGAGTGGCGGGGTCGATGCGATCGGCAGCGATGGGGTGGTGCCATCGGCTCTCGGCTGGCGCAGCCTGCGGCGGCGGGCGCGTGACCCACCGCCGGGAGCAGCCGGGCCGGGCCGGGCCGGGGTCCCGCGGCCTCGAGATCCCGCGGGCGGATCCCCCGGACCGTTCCGGGCCGGGCTGCGACACCGCGGGGACAGCAGCGCTGCGCAGGTGGGTGGTCACGGCGCGACAGCCGCTGGCCTGACGGACAAGCCCCGAGAGGTGCCGGCTCGGTAAGCACGGTGTGATAGGTGCCGACGCGATGAACGAATCCCCTGCTCGGTGTGAGGGATCTGGGTAGTGCCGGAGAATCAGTGCTGGCAGACCTTGGGTCTGTTTTGGTTTTGTTTGTTTTGTTCTCAGCAAAGCTGCAGAGTGTTTTTATAGGGATGAACTGAAGTGATTCCAAAAGGACCACGGGATGATGGAAGCCCTGTGGGGGGCCTCTGGTCCAGCGTCCTGCTCAGAGCAGAGACAGCTCCGAGGTCACACCAGGGGCTCGGGGCTTTGTCCCATGAGGTCTGGAAAACCTTTGAAATGGAGAGTACACCACTTGCTTCTCAGTTTTTCTGTCTCATAGCGACCTTTTATCCAGTAGGGCCCTCCCATGTTCAGGATGTGCCCAGTATGTTCCATCACTCTGCACTGCTGTTGTAAAACTCACTGCGATGCTTGTGTTATATTTGGCTGCTGAAATTGAAGCAAAAGAAGAGAGAGACTCGGGTTTATCTCTGCCCTCCCAACATTCCAGGTCTGATACACCTGTGTAAATAGATCTACATTTTCAGTCAGGGTTTGTGGTTAAATAGATCCACGTTTTCAGTCGGGGTTTATGGTTGCAGGTTCATGTATACCACAGGCTCCCAAATACAAGCTATTCACAGATGGACCAGACACAGTATAGTGCTCTCAGTGAATTGAGATTTAGCCTGGAAAGGAGGAAGGAGGCTTGGGGATTACCTTATCACTCCCTACAACTCCCTGAAAGGAGGTGGTGGCAAGTTGGGGATCAGCCTCTTCTTCCAGGTATCAAGTGACAGGATGAGAGGAAGTGGCCTCAGGCTGTGCCAAGGGAAATTCTGGTTTTGCATTAGGAAGGATTTCTTCACAGGAGAGGTTATTAAACATTGAAAAGTCCCTGCCCAGGGAGGTGGTGGAGTCACCCACCTCCATCCCTAGAGGTGTTTAAGGAAGGGCTGGACATGTCACTCAGTGCCATGGTCTAGTTGACATGGTAGTATTCTCACAAAGGTTGGGCTCAATAATCTTAGGGTCTTTCCAACCCAATTGATTCTGTGATCCTGAGATATTTCTCATGTAATTTACGGGTATGCTCATCCTTATGCAGGAGGTAACAAATGTGGAGGTTTTTTTCCTAGCAATGTGTGTGCTCACATAGAGCAAAGTAGGTGGTAACTTTTTGCCTAACTTAAAATAGTTGCCTCAGAAAGCATTTGTATTTCAAGAGAGTGTAATTCTCACACAAAGCACATGGATGATGAGCACAAGGCATATGGAAGCTTGGCATTTCAAATGGGGAAAAAAAAATTTCAAATAACTTGTTTACATTTGGAATATCTTTTTGCAAGCAGAGGACCAGGACATGGGCAGCACCTCAGTTGCACCTGTTCCTGCAGCTGTTCTTTCCTTTCCACTCCTTAGATTTGGCATAGACAACACTGCAGGAAGAAAATGACCCACTGGTTCCATCGCAACCCTCTGAAGGCTACAGCTCCCGTTTCATTTAATTATTATGGGGTAACCACCACTCCAGCGGCAACAAAGGTTTGCAAGTAAGTGTACTTGGGACTGGCTTCACTCTGCCTCTTACAGTTTGGGGGGCATCCTTAAAAGTAATGGTTGCTCTTCAGTTTTTGAGCTGAAGATGACTAGAGATGTGTAGGCAAAGAGGCAATAAGACACTGCTAATACTGAACATTTGCTTACAGAGAAGGAATTCTCCAGTCTCTGAATGCACAGTAAGGTCAATTATAACAATGGAGAGGCAAAAGACTAAACACTTCATTGTCTTTCTGATGACTGTGTATTCCTCTGCAGAAGATTGCTTAATTTTCATAAGTGGATAGGGTCTGACTGTTCTGTTGTGGATGGGAATGTAACGAAAAGGGACCTCGGCCTATTTTGCAGATCTGTTCTTATCTCTTCATGTCATCATCCCATTCTAATGTTGAAGAATGTTCCTGCTTGTTGCTTCCCCTTCCTCTCTGTACACCCAACCTCTTGGTAGGTAAAGGCACAGTTATTTTAGCTAGTGTTGGAACAGTAGATCAAGTACTGATTATCCACTGCTGCGTGTCCAGTCATATGTATCCAGAGGAGAAAGGAAGATTTTTCTGTATTAGTGCGCTTTTAATAGGATTTCTTAGGGGGATTTTTTTCTTTTTTTTTTCTCCTTTCATTTAGTGACTTGCGGTTGTCTCGAACACGGCTATTGGAGCTGTTTACAGATTCAAGTTGTAATCCAGAAATTATGAAGAATGCAGCTGACTTGTACTTCTCTCTTCTGCAAGGTAGGGAGATTTATTAGCACTACTACTAATTCATCAAGAGAAGTATCAGTACAATTTTAATGGCACTTCTCAGAATGTTAATTGTGCTGATCTCCTGTAAAGAAGCTTTGCACTTCTTAGGAAGGAGAGTATCTTCATGGGTTCTGTGCTTGATACCAGTGCTGGCTGCTCAGCAGGCCTTTTCTCCAAGTTTCAGTGTCCTTTGTGACCCTGCCAGTACTTCGTGTTGGCAGCCTTGCTCCTGCCTTTAACCTCATTCTGCTTCCTGTTGGAGGAGAAAATGTGTATTTGTCTTTTAGGTAGTGGTGAGTTTCTCCCTAAGTATACATTGAGTCTATTAATTAGTTTATTTCATTTAGTATTCAGAGTAAACTACTGGTTTGTCTAATACTAGACCATAGACTTGTTGCAAGTTTACCTTTTACTGCTGCTTATCTTAGGTATGTGTATATATGTAGGTGCTCATTAGCATGGTGTCTGCATTTTCAGTAGATGGTTCAGCTGTGCTGACACATTCCTTTGAAACCTTCCTTCTGCCAATATTTGGGTAGCTCTCTCTTAGCAGTCAAGTGCTCGGCCAGGTTTCTTAAGACTGAGTTTTCAGGAATCAGCTGATTCATGGAAAGTGGGATCTTTTGGTCTGTGGGAAGTAAACATTGGTTTAATGTGCTCCTGGGAGAGTGTAGGCTAATGTCGCATCCAACAGCCAAGATTTGGATACTTTCTTCAGGAAATTATCATGCTTGGCTGGTAAAATGTTCTGCATGTGAAAGGAACAGGTATTTTCTGATTTTATAAACACGTGACACACTGACAAGTATAGCCCCAGTAGCTGCTATGGCAAGCTCTTGACCTCTTAAAGTCTGTAAGACCTGATCAGACCAAGGCCCCTCTTCAGCCTCACTAAAACATTCCTGGGCCTGCATATGCTAGGATTTGAACATCCCATAGCGTGAGCTTCATCCCACTAACTGCTGTTTTCTGGGCTACAGGACTTAAAGAGCCAATTTCCTGTAGCCTTGGAGATAGGTGATGACTAGGTGAGCCCATACTTAGAAGCCCGTTTCCCTCTCCCTGTTGACCAGGCAGCTTTTCCTGGAATTTCCTGGTTGCCACTATGGTGGCAGAGACAGCCACTTGCTCACCTTGAACAACCTGGGCCAGTCCTACTCCCAACTTGTCACCGTATGGGACATGCAGACATCCGCCAGGTTTTCCTTGAGCAGTCAAGATTCTCAGAATTGAGTTGGTAACATGCTGGGCAAGCAGTTTCCTCAAGTAGCCAGTTGGTTTTTTCCACATTTTGTTCTCAAGTTTCTGAGGAATAAAAACCCCAGGAAGTGACATGGGGTTTTGAGGGGTTCAGCAAGAAACATTCCTATATCTGTATTCATGTTGATCAATCTCCTTCATTACTCATTTCTGTTTCCTACTTTGAGATTGCCTGTTTTATTATTCCGTAGGTTTTATCCTTTCACTGGATGACTCTTCCCAAGAATGTAAATTGAGATATATTCAGAATTTCAAGTGGACTGACACATTACAAGGACAAGTCCCGAGGTGCGTGTGCTTTTCTGGGTGCAGGGTATGCAGCTGCTCTCTGCTGCTCTGTTACACACATGCACAGGCCTGAAGGGAAACAGAAATGCAGCAAAGTCTTGAACACAAAGTAGTTTCTAAAAAGGGTTGCTGTGTTTTTGGTAACTGCTGTACTGTGTTAGGTGTTCTGAAGTGTGCCTACTGGCCTTTATGTTGAACTGTGAGAATGCACAATAATGATAGAAGGATCCATTGGGTCTCAGTTGATCTACAAACTGAACCTGCAGTTAGCTAGAGAAGTATGAAGAAAAGCCTTGAGGGTATTGGTGAATTGAGCATGGTAACAAAGGTCACTGCAGTTTAAAACTTAATTTGGCACTATTGCCTGACCAGGAACTTTTGTGTGTTTGGAGATTCTAGTGTTGCTAAAGATCTGATTTTGTTCTTGTCATCTGAAGCTCCGTGTACATGTCCTCTTGGTTCAAACAAACAAATCTTCTGTTTCCAGGAGGAATACAGATCTGTAACCTTCTGAATTATTCACTTGTCTCTTGCTACTGGAGTTAATCCAGTTGTATAATCATGCCTACAAATTTGTCAAGCTTTAGCTAGAAGTGCTTGACCTCCTCAAAGCTTTAATTCCCCATGGAAGAAAATCTGTTGATTAGGACTTTATTCTAATTTTCTCACGGTCATGCACACTTTTACTTGTGCCAACATTACTCTTCCCACTCCCATGTTTTTCTTTTTAAAAGGTTTGCTAGTTCCTAAGCTAAACTGAGCTTGTGATTGCAAGTTCAGTCTTTTGAAAGACTCTGTTTTTAGCTTTTGAAATTTCCTGCCATTTGCACATGCTGTTTGTCTGCAGTTACATAAATAATTACAGTAACATTAATTTGAGAGAGTTGTAACAGATTCTGACTTATTAACTTAGCAGTACAACTTTAAAGTGGACATTCCAGGGCAAGGCTTTCCACAAAATGTGCAATTGAAAAAAAAAGAAAAGAGATGGAAAAATGTCAGCCACAGCTAAACAAATCTCAAGTTACAGTTTTAAAATAAAAGTTCCCAAAAGGGAAGGGTGGGCATCTGAATGTGGTAGATTCTAATTATGTGTTCTTAAAGGGAAAAAGTAAAAAAATTCCCGTCTCCCTTAGGCAGTTCAGCAAAGAAGGAGGTTTGGAATTGGAAATTGTTGACATCTTAAATGAAAAATGTTTTATGGAGAGAAGTGTTGACTTTTGCTACGTGAACTGTCTGAGAGAGATGTGAGAACAAAACCAAACACATTAAGTTTTTCAGGGGTTTTTGTCTGTCTTTCTTTAGTGCCCAGCAGGATGCAGTATTTGAACTGATTTCCATGGGATTTAATGTAGCTCTATGGTACACAAAATATGCATCAAGACTTGCTGGAAAAGAAGAGTAAGTGATTTTCTTTTCTTAACAATTCTGCTGCAGCAATACTCCACCGAAGATTTAAGCAGGTTCTGAGGGTTGCCTGCTATAGGAAATGTCCAGCTCAGGCAGAGGAGTTCCAGGAGGCAGTTGGTCTTTACACACAAGCACTTCAATCCCTTCTTGCTTCTGTTAACCAAGTGCAGTAGTACTACATGACTGTGATACAGAGAAAGTGTCAGTTGTCAATAAACCATCAGTCTACCTCTAAACGTCCACGTAGAAAAGTGAGATTCTTAACATGAGAGCTCTGCTGACGTTTAACCCTACAGACCTCTAAATCCTTGGCTTCTAACACTGAGGTTGCCTTTTACTTGCGAGTCATCACAGGATCTTACATTTCTTTCAAGCAAGTTCTATGTGATTATTTCATGATTGGACACTGTAAGAAGCTCCTTTACTCTGAGGGTAGCACAGGCGTGGGACAGGTCACTTAGGGAATTAATGGACTCTTGATTCTTGAAGGATTTAAGATTCATCTAGACAAAGCTATAACTGACCTAATCTGCTGTTGCCAAATGTGGTGCCCCAAAGCAAGAGGTGGCACTAAATGACACTTAGAGTCCCTTTCTAACTATAATTTTACCAATTCATTCTATTTTCTCAGTATAACAGAAGATGAAGCAAAAGGTGTGCACCGCAGCCTGAAGATAGCAGCTGGGATTTTTAAACACCTGAAGGTAGAAGGACTTTCTTTGCTGTCTGTTCTTCAAGGTATCTCCCAATACTTGACTTCTTGTCTTAGAGAGGCCTTTGCTATACACACATACCTGAGAGCACCTGAATGATGCAGGAAACAGAAAGGTATTGATATGTTGTGGTATCACTCAATCCCTGCAACTCGTTCCCAGTGGCACTGGAAGAGTGGTTTGTCTGCCTATATCATGTGCTACATGTGCTGTCTTGGGACCTTCACTCAGTGTGTCCCATCCATTTAGGAATGAGGCACTTGTTTTGCACTGTTACTGGGCCTAAACTAATTCTGAGACTTGCTTTGTATTTAGGAAAGTCACATTCCAAAATTGATTACACCTGTGGAAAAGGGAAGAGATTTAGAAGCTCGACTTATAGACTCCTACATCATACAGTGTCAAGCTGAAGCTCAAGAAGGTATCTTCAAACATACATTGGTTGGGTGTGGGAAATGACTCTTTGTGCATCATTGCTCTCTCATGAATTCTGCTTGGCAGCAAGACCATGGGTTTTTTATTCTCCTGAAGTACTGTGGCATAATGGGGCAGGTTGTTTTTAAAGAAAATTATGTTACAATTATAAAAGGAAAATGCCAAAAATCAGTCTGATATTAAAATTGTAATATAGAATGTCTTTTACTTTGGAAGAACTTGTGTGTGGCATTACTCCTTTTTCATATTTCTTCCTTTCATGCAACACTTTCACCACCTTGCTTGCCTAATAGGCATTCCCAGTTCCTTTACTTTAAAATATGTGCAGCTTCTGTTTATTAGCTAATCTTAAGGCTAATATTCCTTCAGTTTTTCTATTAAATTGGAATCATTCTATCCAAGAAACAATCTGTCTTTATTCTGCTGTTTGCTTGACTGCGCATCTATTTTCTGTTCATGCAGGGGTTTTAAAACCCTAAATGCCTCTGCTGATTTGATGTGATAGGACATTTCAATTAAACTTAACCATGGTGTGGAACTATTTTTCAGTCACAATTGCTCGGGCTATTGAGCTGAAACACAGTCCAGGCCTAATAGCTGCTCTTGCTTATGAAACAGCCAACTTCTACCAAAAAGCTGGTGAGTGTTGTTTTATATCCTTAGTGATTTATATCCTTGATTTATGCTCTCTTGCCAGCAGAGCTACTTCACCTACCCATAAATTGCAGTATTAATGCTGTTCTTGGTGGATATGAAGTGTGTATTTAGCTTCTATTTAGCACATTTAAGACTTCAGTTATCAGCATGTATTATGATAAGGCCTTTTGGTTTTGTGGGAATCTTGTTTTGTAGCTGATAGTAGGAAACATTAGTGAAGGAAAGCAGACTAGCATCAGACAAATGGCCTGATGTCAGTGGAGCGTGTTCCAGCTGCCTTTGGGAAGCAGATCATGATGCAGAGCGTGAAGAGTGGAGTGGGTTCATTATGTACCACCTTCCAGATGAGTAAGATGGTCTCTGGGCTTACTGAGGCAAGTGGGAGGAGTGCAGAAGTATGGGAGTCATTACTGGAACTTAAAGCTAGGAACAAGCTTTGAAATGCTGCCTAAACATACTCAGAGAATTAGCCATCCAGACTTAGTGGACAGCAGTTTCAGGGATTCTAGGGACAACTGCATGATAGCTGCATATCTTTGGTATTTTTATGGAGGAATTTTTGTCCCTTGTTTCTGGATACTTTAGAGTTAGGATCTAGTGCTAAGTTTAAGAATTCTGGTCTTTTAATGTGTTTGGGGTTTTTCTTTTTAGAAATGTCTTAAGAATAACTTTACATATGTGTTCACAGATCAAACATTATCCAGTTTGGATCCAACCTATGCAGGTAAATGGAGGAAGTACTTAAACTTGAAGAGCTGTTTCTATATGGCCTACGTAAGTACTTTGGGTGGCAGCGGTGACAGCTTGTTGTCTGTCTGCCAAGGGCTGCATAGGGAATGGGGGCTAAGTATTGCGTTGGCTTTCTTTGCATACTGTGAAGAGGAATTGTGCAGTGTCAGTGACATTTGAACAGTTTTTAGGGAGCCAAATGAAATTGCAGCAGTGTGGATTTGTTGTGATCACAGATCTTTAACTGAAGCCATTCAGGTTGAGCATAATGGTGCTCTCTGTTATCTACATCACAGTCTGATCCTAGGCACAGTTCAGAGCTGAGCATCTTTATGAAGGCCCTGAATGAAACGGCATCAAGTACCAAAAGGTACCATTCCAAGAGTTGTCCCTATTTGCCTGATGGATCTCCTAGCAAGTACTGCAGTTCCCTTGAGATCTTCAGCTGCTCAATTTGCTGTGTCTTGTAGCCTGCCACAGCCTGTAATCTGTCTTTTTTATACTGTACAAAAGGCCCAAGCTAAGCAGTTTACATAATTGTCTTTCTCTTAGGCTGAATCTGTAGCTAAAATCTGCTTGCCTTAGCAGGTTTGAGAGGTGAGGGAGGCTCAGAGTTGTGGTACTTCTTTTTTTAAATTTGAGTGATTTCTACTACTGGGCAGTAGTAGATTTAGATAGATTTGTACTGTGAGAACAGACACTGAAGGAAGGGGGGCAAGGTGGGCATTAGTTGATGGGATTGTTCCTTTACCTGTTGTGTTTACTAGTTAATAGATAATAGGCAATTCACTTCTCACTGGAATACAATACCACCTTCAAGCACAGGTATGAAGGAATGGGACTTTTTGGTGGTGGAAAAGTTATTGGACTATGACAAAATATCTCAGAACACCTCATCTCTTCTAGATTCAGTGATGTTTGTCGCAGATTAATTTTTTGAGTGTTCAGGTAGTTTTAGTTTTCGGTCTTAGCTTTGTAAACTTGCCTGGGGTTCGTTCTCTTTCTGTGCTGGGGCTTGATGCTGCACACTGCTACAGTGAGAGCTTGGACTGGCCTGTGTGCCAGTGCTTCAGGTCAAACAGCTTTGTGCAGCTCAGTTACTCTTGGCTAGAGCTGAGACAGCTCGGTTCGTACTAAGTGTTCATGGTTCTGGTTCACAGAGTTCATGTGGAACTGCATTAATGGCTCAGTGAATGCTGCTTTGACTTGGATTCCTCAGCTGTCAACTACCTGCAGGGAATGGCAGCTTTAAAGAGCTGCAACTGCTGTAGGGAGGAGAAGGGGATTGGTGCAGGAAGTGCCCAGGGATGTTGGTAATGATTTTGTCCTCTTCCATCAGGCATACTGTTACCATGGCCAGACTTTGCTGGTGAGTGATAAATGTGGGGAAGCGATCAGATCTCTGCAGGAATCAGAAAAATGTAAGTGTGATTGAGACTGGAGTACCGAGTCTGATGATGCCATGCCTGTTCTGTTTTGCTGTACTGTGTTAATTTGCTCTCCCATAAAGATTTTACCTGTCACCTGATGGAAATCCATCACACCTTTGAATATAGATGGTGTATTTTTTTTTTTTGTCTTACCAAATACTGTCTTTCATAACATTTCTGCAGAAAATTTTAATCTTCTTAGCCTGGCTTAAAGACTGACTTTGAGCTGCCTGTAATATACAGTATAAAAAACAATGGTCTGGTCATCCTGTTTTCTGGTCTGTATGTAAGAGTAGTACAGCCATTTCTGCTTTGGAGGTTAAATAGTAAATCTAGATCTTGCATGTTTATTTTTTAACAGATTTCAGTAACTGTTCTATTCATTTGAAAGGTATATTCAGGCAAGTTTGCAGTAGTTCAAGGTCTTCTTCCCAGTCTTCTCTCTTCAAAGCTATTTGTACCCCATTGGCCTGCACTGCCTAACTTTACTCCAATGTATAAAAATGCTCAAATCTTCCAAGTGGAAACTTTAATATTAGTTTTTAAAATAAATCAGAAATTTATTAAGAACAAACTAAGCTGGATTTCTGGGAGTAAAACAAATACTGTTCGGCTGTTCAGAGAAGAGTGCTTTTTCTCCCACTCCATATCAGTTATTGTTGTTTGGTGTGGGGCATCAGCTGTGTGTGGACACCTTCATAGCCTCTGTTTTTCCCTACCATGTGGCACAGTTCTTGGGCTTATTGTTGCATTTTGCCCCACATATAAGAATGCTTTTCTGCATCTTCCCACCCAAAAAGCTGTCTTTTTCTTTTCCTGTTACTAGTCACTTGTTGGATGCAGTAAATCTTGGCTGTCTTTGAACTGGTTTGGTTTTGTTTCCAAGAAGAGGCCTGACTGGTGTCTTCTAAGGATTCTGGTGTCTTCTAAGACTGAAGCACTGTAGAGCAGAACCATGATTTAGGATGGTCACATAAATAATTTTTATTTCCTTTTTTTTCTTGCAAAGTTTTTGCCAAGGCTGAAACATTGTGCAAAGAATATGGAGAAACCAAAGGGCCTGGGACTACTGCCAAACCTTCTGGACATCTTTTCTTTAGGAAATTAGGAAGTTTGATTAAGAACACATTAGAAAAATGCCAGAGAGAGAATGGATTTATGTAAGTAATTCATGGTTGGTACAGCACTCTGCATAAAGTGCTACATCATTCGCCTTTATTTCAGGATGGGATGGTAAATTTTACTCTCCAGTTGTTATATTCCTTTGGGGCATGGCATGTAACTTACAGATAAATTTGCAATTTTATAATTTTCTCTGGGCAGATTTGCAGTGGGTCAGTGCTGTCCCACTCGGTGTCCTGTTCCAGTTCAGCAGGGGGGGCTGGACTGACATCTGGAGAGGTTGAGCAATTTTCTTCCCTCATTCCTCAGCCACCTGGTTACTTTTCCTTTTGCACAGGACAAAATCTGCAGAAGTTGCCGTGTTGCTCTAATGCTCTCTTCCTGTCTCCTTGGATCTAGTAGGCAAAAGAGGACAGAGGCAGAAGTAGAGAAGACCAGTAGGTGATTCTGCTTTGCAAGCAGGGAAGTCAAAACACCGTGCTGCTTTCAGTGAAGATCATGCTTAGGGTGCTAGGAGCTTTACCAATCCAAGTATAGTTAATATTGTGAATAGGGCTTTCTGTTCATTAATGTCCTTCCAAAAAGGGAGATTTCAGCACATCCTTGTCCCTCTAGAACAAAACTTGGAAAGAGAAAGCAGTGACTGTTTTGGGAGAGCTCTGTGCAGCACAGGAGGTGTCACAGAGTGTGTCAGTGTGTGAGTTCCTGCTGTCCTGCCAAGGGCGGAGGGACACCTGAATCAGGCTTTGCCCTGTTGGGGGGCTGCTGTGTTACCATCATCCACTATGGCACATTAGGACTGTTTAGGAAAAGAACTGTCCTCTTCATCTTTGGAAAGTACTTTAAATCCTCATTTGTATTTTGAAAGCTTTTTTTGGACAAAAGATGCTCTTCTCATTGAAGCACTGGGAATAATGGTTATTAAGTAGGAGAAAGCCCGCCACATAATTAGGGAACAAATAACAATACTAGGAAGGAGTTGCTTTTCTTCTTGTGAACCTTGCTGGCAGAATGCATGTTAGGCAGTGCCTTAATGAAATGGAAGAGAGCAGCAGTGCTTGCCACTGTGAAAACCCAGATTGTTTTGTTTAGAATGTAAACAAGACTTGCAGCGATGGTGCACTATATTTTAAATACGTTTCTGTATTTTGTTCCAGCTATTTCCAGAAGGTGCCAGCAGAAGCTCCCCAGCTGGAATTGAAAGCAAACTATGGCTTAGTAGAGCCTGTTCCTTTTGAGTTTCCTGCTTTGAATGCACACTGGACTCCTGAAACAGTTGCAGCATTTGATCTCACCAAGAGGCCAAAGGAGGATGCTGTAAGATAATCCCATGTGCTGTTCTTTCCCTCTGGCTTTATTCTGTGTATCATACAGAGTTAGTTTGACTCTTCCATAACAATCCCCAGCTCAGTGTAGGAAGCAGACACAAGGCTAGCACCTAAACTCATCCTTCTGTTGTGCCAGGGGCAAGTCAATTAACCTCTGCCCCACTGCCAGCATCTAGAACATCAGTTTATTTTTTACCAAGTCCTGTAACATTACAGCGTGCTAGAGAAAGATTATTTTTTAGAAAGGGATTCATTTAAAGATGCTGAAACAGAGAACAGTTGTCTTTTCCCTCTTTCTTGGGGCTTACTCAAAGTTTTCAGCCTTGAAAAAAAGGGGGGACTTAGATTATAACATGTAGTGTTAGCTGTGCATAAATACTGCACAGCTGTATTTAGTTGTTTTTTTTTTTTATTCTTGTTTGCAGGATAAACCAAAACCAGATGAAGAAGTAAAACCTCTGAAGGAACCAAATATAAAGCCTCAAAAAGACAGTGGATGCCAGATTTCTTAAATGCCATAAGTGCTTTGAGTTTGCTTTGAAATTCTATTCACAGGACTCTGGGGCTTTTGTTCTGATCTCCTTTTTTGATTCTCCTCTTTTCATTTACAAGGCTAATTTAGTTTATCTTTGTTAATATGTGTCTATCTTGCTTTAGATTGTGGTGGATTTCTTGGAGATTATTTATATCTGACTTACTTTTGGTTTCAATGGGATATCATAGAATGAGTGGGCTTAAATGTTCTTATTGTGCCTCTAGGGAGTTGCTTTTTGTGGGTTTAGTTTTACCCACAAATAGCAAAGGAAGTATAATGGGTGTAATGCTTGAGGGTTTTTCCATTATCTTATATGCTGTATCATGTCCAATTCTGCAAACAGAAGTTTGCATGAACAGTTATATTTATTCAAGTTTTGTCGTTCAGGCTTAGAACCCTCTTGTGTTTGAATTCAACTATTTGTAGTGAGGGAAGAAAATCTGGGTTTGGTTTGTAACAGTCCTATGATATGTCACAGGACTTGCACAGAACTTGGCAAACTTCAAGTTCTGCATAACAGGAGTACAATTTATGTTCTGAAACTATTCGTCTCTGTTCTTTCCTCTATAGATGAGGGTTTTTATATCAGAATTTGTAATAAGGTACCTTAGCTTTGTGCTTTAATCCAAATCCCTTAGTATCAAAGTGTATCTGAAAATGATGCAGCAAGCAATATGGAAGTGCTTTAAAGGAAAGCATCCCTGTCCCATTCGTTCAGAGTTTTTGAATCTTCAAAGCTTTGTTAAGTTTGAAGGCTGTAGATAGTTCAAATCCCCTGCACTGGAATTCCTGAAGCTGTCATGCTCAGGTAGCGTATTTGGAAGTTGCTGTGTTTCCAGATGGGTGGTGTCTATAATAAGCTGTCAGGAAAACAGGAGGGAAAGACAAGTTGAAGAGCTGATAGCACAGCTGGGAAGCCAAGCTCTAGATTTTCTTTATGCCCTATGTGTAAACAGTGCTGCTTCTCAGGTTTTGCAGTATTGCACTAAAATCAGGTCTTTCTGAAGAAAACTTGTGAGAAACCAAGCCCAGTCAAGGCTAAGAAAGAATGGATTTTGTAGAACTTGCTGCTTCTATTTCTGCCTGCTGTGGAAAATGTGACAGCATTCTTTAGTGCTGAGCACTGCAAAACACCCTTGACAACAAAAAACATCTTTCTGATTTGTTGCAAATGCAAAGGCATATGATGCATGTGTTGACTTGAGAGCCTTGCAATCCCTGGGTACCGGTTGCTACACTTCTCTTGGCCTGAGAAAGAAACTGAGCAGCCTTCCAGTGAACACGATGGCAGATGTACTTCCTGCGATGTAAACTGTAAACACATTCCTCATTTTGTACTCTTTGTTCACCTTACACTGTGCTGTGATTCAGTGCTTCTAAAATCCTTAATGGGGCTTGGAGACTCTTAGCTTAGAGAGCAGGTGTGTAACTCCTTGAAGGCCTGTGAAACAAAAGCTGCCAAGGAGGTTAATAGGGAACTCAAGACTCTTCCTGAGATACTGGACCAAATTACAAAATTTGTTGATGCAAAAGGCAAAGAGACTTTTAATGCTGGTGATTATGGGTTGATCAAATGCAGACCTCCTTGCTTCCCATGATGGATTTTTCTTTCTGTCAGATCTGCACATAAAACTAAGTGTAAAGTGAGCTGAATTTCTTTGGAAGAAGTGTCTCTTCTGCAGGAGCCTAGAGGATAATGAGTATCAAGAAGAATACATACCTGAAATGGCTCCATTTCTTCTGGTGCTGCACAGGGACCTGGTGTACGTTTCATGAAGAGTTACTCAAATCTGTTCCTAACTTGATCAGCTGACTCATTAGACTTCTTGCATTGTTAAAATACCAGCTTAGGTTTTGCCAGAGTAGACTGTGGAGATTTTAATTCTAAAAATGTATTCTAGCTGTAGTCATCAACATTTTCTCAGCCTGCCCCCTTTAAGGATCAAGATACAGTTAACTCAGTTTCATAATCACAATTTTTTTAGCTGCTCATTGTTTTTCAGAATTCTTTGTCAATATATACACATCTCAACTGGATTAGTTTTCTTTCTGTTCAGACTAGATCCCATTTTCCCTCATCCCCTCATTTTCCCTTCTATCTGCTACAAACTGTGGCACAGACTTACCCTCGTTTGCTAATGTACTTGTAGGTCCTGGGACTCATTTCCAATGCAGCTTTTACCCATGGGTGGGTTCCTGTAGAGGAACATCTTAAAATCAAATTAACAAATCATGACTAAGTCATTCCCAAACATCTTGGAAGGAAAGATTATTTTATGGACTTGGAATTCTTTGGACACTTTCTCAAACTGAGCTGTTTGTATGAATCAAGTTCACTGTAAATAGTTTGGGGCATAACCAAGTGAATTGTGTCAGATGATGGCATTACTTAAGCCTAGCTTAAGTATAACCTCTTGTGCCATAGCTGTTTCAGTAAATATGATGTAGTAGTTTAAGAATAGAATAATGGAACAAATTAATTCACTTAACATGCATTGCTTTTCAAGACAAACTTTATTTACTTGTAGCTGAAAACCTGTGGTAAATATTGGATGGTTTTGCCAAAAAATAAGCTGGAGACTGTTAAGTTTGCAAAGGAGAGAGAGCTGTGAGGCAATGAGCAGTTTTCTCTTCTGGTTTTCTTGGGTAGTAGCAGGAATTACTATAAATAGGATATAGATTAACTGTCCAGTATGCTTAAGAATATGAGTGAAGGAACTGGGAGTTTCAGTGAATCTGGAAACCCAGCAGCCATGTTCCTTCTCTTATAGCTCCCTGTAGTAATTTTTAAGAGTGAGGTTTTTTGAGTTGTGACTTTTTAATATTCTAATGCTGCAAGAGCCTGATTTTGTGGCCTCTCTCTGGTTTTAGAAGCTGTCATGGCTAAGCCTGCAAATCATGTTGGTGTAAATAATCTTTAAAAATTTGTGCCCCATCTGAAGCAGGACAGAACTGCAGCTGAATAAAATACGGAGTGCTGTGCCCTCTGTTTTGTGTTTTAAGAAAAGCAGTGGTTGTCTTTAATCTACTGTAAACCAAACCATTAAGCTCTTTGTAGGATTTCTATTTAAATACCTTCCTCTATGTATTTAAATACACTTCCTCCATGTTTCGTGTTCCTCAGTTTGCAGTAGTTACTCTCTATCCAGCATGTGACACATGTACAGCAGCTGAGGGACTAAACCTGGCCCTTGGATGCTAATGTCTGCCTCTCACTGGATTTGGTAGAGGAGTTTTGCCTGTCAGCCTAGGGATGGTGTTTGGGCACTTGGATGCTCAGCATGGAGCCGTGGTGTGTCTGTAACAATGACAGTCATTCGTACAACAAGCAGGAAAATGGATCCCTTTGTCTGTGTAGAATAGAGACAACTTTGCACTTCAGAATTTTCTTGTCTTGCAAATTTGGTACAGTACAATATGCTTGTAAATACTCCTTCCTGTCATTTTGTCGCACTGATTTCAGTACTGTGCTGTGGGTTAGGTTTTAATGGGAAACATTACTAAAATGCGTTTTTAATTGTCTGTGTGTAAAACAAACTGATATATCTGCCTTTAGTATTGGGGAACATGAGAAGAGGCAGTAGCTCATCTGTCTTCCATGGGAATTCCAAAAGGTGAAGGCTTTCTGTCTGTTGGCTGTGGGGTAAAACATTTCATCCCACCCCTGTGTCTGGTATCTAAACTGAAGTTTCAGCATTAACATAAATCCTATTCATGCCTATGACTTGCCACTAAAAAGTTTCTGTCTCTAAAGATCACTCTTAAATTACCATATTAGCATAAGCTGCTTTTTTTTCCCCTTTTACTGTTTTTTCCCTGTCACTGGCCCAGCTGAGGGAGGAATAAAGCACAGTGAGTAAGGTACACACTGCAGGGGCTTTTCCAGTCTATCTCCAAGTTGTGAGTGCAGTGTAAAGGCCTTTCCACAGTGACCCTTGGCTTGTCTCAGACTTTTCCCTGCTGGTGATGCTCTCAAATTCAGCAAAGGTCCCATAGCAACCCAGGGTACGCTTGATCAGCTTTTTATGTAGGAAGGCCTCCCTCCTTTGGTGTTGGTGCCTTCATGGATTACAAGCGTCTAGAAGCCATCCTGTACTCTGAGTAATCCCACTTCAATGGAATCAGCTCTCAGATCACTGACCGAGCAGTCTTTGTGAAGACAGTCACCATGCAACCTTAACCTTCATAGTTGGAAAATTTGTATATAGCCACGAATTTCAGAATGCCATTTAAAATAAACCATCTTCAAATATCATGTTTTGTTTCATTATTTAAAATTTTACATACAGTAGCAAGAAAGAGGCTCTGTCTTGATTGCTACTTTCTGCAATTTAATGCAACTTTATTATAGAGAATACTTAATCCTTGCTTAAAGGAAGACTTAAATAAGGAAGATCCATTAATTGGGTGCCTATGGAAGTAGTAGCTACAATGAAGCATGTTAAGTCCCGAGGCAGGAAGTGAGGAGACAGGCTTTCCAAATGCTTGTTGAGAAAAAAAATAAAGTAATTAGGCAGAATTTCTTATGGCTGTGCAAAATCCCAGTACTTGCCAAGGTCTATGTCAGGGGGGTTTTTGGGGATAACTTCTCTGATATTCTGGCTGAAGCCTCACTAGCACAGCAGGCTCAGTCTTCCCTGTCTGAACCAGACATGCATCTGCTGCTGTCTCCAGGAGTCCCATCTGTCTCTCAGAGCCATGTGGTGGTCTTTAATAATTTTGTTTCATGCTTCCAATCTTCCTGTCTGGCTTTTTCAAAGAAGGACTCGTTTGCAATGTCCGTGTTTATGGCCCCTGGAATGTAAGGCTGCCCTTGCTTTGTTGAGTTGCTCTCAAATCTCAAGATCAGGGACCTTGTCCTTTGTGACACCTGGACCCTCTCATCTGCTTGCCGTGCTTCCCCAGTTTCTGCCAGCATCGCTTAGTCAGTACCTTCTCCCCATTGTCAAAACCTGCATAACAGCACCAACAGAGCCTTCTTGAATGGATCAACAATTCCCACCGGACCCTGCTGGAGTGATGGCCACAAAGGGGCAGCAGAGCTTGTGTTTTCATGCTGTTTTTCCACACAGCTGCCCAGCGCAGTGTGCACCCAGGAACAGCACTGCAGCTTTAAAATGGAAAGTGTGTCACAAGTTACACCTTCTACATCATTTCATGTGAAACATCTCTGTAATTACTGACAGGGGGAGCATTCAGGAGCCCATGCATGCTCTGTGACCAGGAGAGCAGCTATCCCTCCATTGAGGACATTGTCAAGGCCATGGAGCAGCAGCACTGACAAACACAGATGGTTTCTTACCATGTGTCCTAGCAGCTGCTCTGTCCCTGGCCTGGCAGCCTCTCTAGGGCATCTGCCCTTTGGGAAGAAGATGCTGTGTACATCTCTGTGTGTGGAGGATCATTAATGGGACATCATGCCATGATCAATATGATCAAGTGCAGCCAATTTATTACAAAAAGCAAGCTATATTTATACTGTTTTCTATTGTTCACACCTCAAGCTAATACATGATTGGTTAAATCCTTTTATGTATGCATTTTAATTTTTCAGTTAATTTTACGTAGTCTTTCTTCTTCAAGTGTTTCGCTGCAGTTTTCTTGTCTGCCTTTGCATCCTGAACTGTCTGCTTCTGAGTGTGTTCTTCTTTCATATCCTTCAAGGGCATAGTGGCTTTACTCAGTTTCTCTGAAGGGTGGATTGTGCATATGTTGTACATGTCCATTGTCCTGCAAAAAACTCTCAACATCTGTGGGGTTTCTCTGGTGTCCTGGGCTGGGTTTCCGTGGCAAGGATTTGTTGTAGGAAGGTTGCAGGGGGAGCTTCTGTGAGCAGCAGCTGCCTTCATGTTGGCCAGAGCCCTTTCCAGCCAGCCCCAAGGCAGAGCCACTGCTGGCCAAAGCTGTGTCCATCAGTTGCCTGCTCATGGCTGTGGGGAAAGGGCCATGAGGTGGATAGTGCGGCCTTAGACAGCTGGAAATGTGAACCAAGGGCTTCTCTCCTCTGCACTCTGCCCTGCCAGCATGCCCCAGTGGGCTGGGGGTGCACAGGAGGCTGTGGGGGGACACAGTGGGGCAACTGACCCCCAGTGACCAGAGGGATTTCCCACAGCATATGATGCCATGCTCAGCTGTCAAACCATGGGGATGGAGGTTGGCAGGGGCTCAGAAACTGGCTGGGCATCAGTTTGTTGTTTTTCTTGTGTTTCAAAGTTTTTTTCTCCCTCTTGTTTGTGGTTGGGTTTTTTTTGTTTGTTTGGTTTGGTTTTTGTTTGGTTTGGTTTAATTTAGTTAAACTGCTTTTATCTCAACCCACCAGTGTTTTTACCTTTCTGATTCTCGCCCCCAGGGCTAGGAAATGAGTAAGTGGCTGTGTGGTGCTCAGCTGCCAAGCAGGGATAAATCATGACAGTCCACTGTAAAACTATAACAGCAGTGCCCTGTGTAAGCAACATCTGAATGATGGGACACAAGCAGCATCTGCAGCAGGAAATAGGAGCTTTAGCTGTGGATGTCTAGAAAAAATCACGAGTGTGACAAGAAATCTCCACACAGGAAAACATGAGTATTAAAAATGGAGACAGCCACAAATACAGGAATTGTGGTACTCACAAAGACCACCAAATTAGTCTTCCTGTAGCCACATTTAATGACAAAACTGAGGTTGATGTGAACCGTTTGTCTGGAGAGCTCAGTCATGAAGTTGTGAATCTGTGGAATAAAACATGGACCTTTACTATTTTTGTCTTGTTTGGTTTGACAGGCTGGCAAACAGGATACAGGTGATGTATCTCCAAGACTTGGTTCTTACCAAACTCAGTGTATAGCTGTTGAATACAGTAACTAGTCTATCAAAATCTGCCACCCATGCTAGGATTATTTAAAGTGAATAATATATTAGCTGAATCAAGCCAGTCTGAGGAGATAATTAAAAGGGGCTACAGGTTTTCTTTGCAAGGTGGTAGATCATATTGCAAGCTGAATGGTACAGAACTGTGTTTGGTGCAACTTCATAAATTAACTTGTTTTTATTAAACAAAGCTCAAAATTAAAGCTTTCTTGTTTCCATAGTTCACAGTTGGAGTCTGTATCTCTGGTTTGGGATAGTTTGAATTGCAACCACTTAATTCCTTAAGAAGTTAAAGTTTTTTCTTTCCTTTTTTAAAAAATTTTAATATGATTGATTAATTTACTTTAAGGATGCATTAAAAGGAATGCAATCACTACTCAAGCAACAAAGCTGGCATATTGCTATTTTTTCTGCTTCTTTTAATAGTTACTGGTGGTGTCTAAAGGGATTATCACCCGTATTTAAAACTCTTGATGATTTGTAAAGTTAGCTATTTTATTTTGTTCAAATGATACAAATTCTATCAATACAATTCAGACTACATTGCATAGTATCAGCCCATCAGCTTTTTCCAAAGGTTACATTTTTCTGTACCCACAAAGGAGCTTTTGCATGCCCAGATGCAGCCTTTTTGGATAAAAACAGCAGAAAACCATGGTTTTCATACAGGTATACAGCAATCAGTGTGTGGTATGTTAGGTATGGTACGAAGTTGTCAGGACCCAGGACATTCCTCTGGCTGCCCTCTGTGATTCGAGACCCTGGCAAGGGGCTCAGAGACCTTGGCACGGAGTCAAAAACACCTGTGCCTTTGATTTTAGCTCATGGAAAAAATTACCATCTTTGTGTGAAGATTTACAAGCCACAAGAGTTTGAGTAGAATGATAGTTAATTTGTCACAGGGTGAAAAAGTAGAATTTTGGGGTTTTAGAATGGGGGTTCAAGAGGCAAGATGGAGGAATCTGGGTATGTCTTATCCTTCTTCTCCTTCTTGCCCTCCATCTTCTGCTGTGATGGTGACACTTCTGATTGGTTTAGAGTAGAGACAGACTGTCTAACATAGGTGATAGGTATTGGAAAATTATTGTAAGTAAAGTACATGTAATTCTTAGTATAAAATGTTAACACCACCCCAAAGGCAGGCAGTGTGTGCCACA